CTGCCAGCCCCTGGGTTGGCTCATTTTGAGTCTAGCAGGATGGAAAAACTGACCAGCCCCTCAGTAAAGTTCCATACACCTTATTTGCATGCTCCTATCCCTCTAAGGGTGTCATGTGCCTTATATGCATTTTTCGTATGTTTGTAATTGCATTATTAGCAAGCTGTCCAGTCCCCTTGGTAGGCCACAGCACCTCGTTTGCATAGCCCCACCTTATTTGGTGGCTCTTGCAAGACCATGACGCAAAAAGGCCATACCCCTTGCACTGCCCTCACTCTCCTTTCTGTCCCAGAAGACAAGGTGGCCCTGTGCTGACAAAGGCTAAGCCTGGGAAGCCATCTCCCCTACTCTTTGGGGACCTATTAGGGCATTCACCTCCCTCCCGGCTACCCTGCCCTAGACCGACACCATCCCTCAGCATCTAATTTATATCTCTCTCCTTGGAGTTGCCTTCATCTGCATCCCTTCAGAGCCACGCACACCCACGCTCTCCTTTCTTAACTCTAATTTATTCAACCTCTTTCCCCGCTCCGGACAGATGAGGGGCACTGCCTGCTGCAGCAGCTCTCCTCCGTCCCAGTCTCCTCGGTTTTCTTCTTACCTACCTGGTAGCTCTCTTAGAGAGCTCTTTTCCCACCAGCAGCCTGTACGTCCTGGTATTTCCCAAGATTCTGATCCTGACCTTCTTTTCTTCTTCTATACCCTCCCAGGACGGCGGCATCCCAATCCAGGCTTCTGTCCATTGTTACACTGTGTGCCCTAAGCCTATTTCCAGGCCCAGGTCTCTTTACTCCATTAAGCTCCACTTTGGTTATCCACCTGCTGACTTGGTATCTCAAGAATCTTCAGGCAGACTCACTCACTCACTCTCTCACTCACTCACTCACCACTCACTCACTCACTCTCTCAATCACTCACTCACTCATTCAATCTCATTCACTCACTCACACTCACTCACTCTAATTCACTCACTCTCTCCCTCTCATTCACTCTCACACCCTCTCATTCGCTCACTCACTCACTCACTCACTCTCATTCACTGATTCACTCACTCTCTCATTCACTCACTCTCTAACTCACTCACTCACTCACTCAATCACTCTCTCACTGACTCACCATCTCACTCACCCTCTCACTCACTCACTCTCTCACACTCACTCTCTTAAAAAAAAAAAAAAAAAAACAATCTTCAGGCAGCTCAAAATCAACTCAATCAAAATCCACTAGCCCATCTTCCCCTCATCCCCCTCTTCATCTTGGCAAATGGCACCACTACAACCTACTTAACCGAATCCAAAAAACAAAGTCTTTACCCCCTTGCCCTGACCTCTAAGGACTATTGATTCTAACATCCCCCTGATACTCTTCAGCATCTTCCCACGCCATTGGCCCATTCAATTTATCTCAGTAGACTCACTCCTCTCCTGGTCTCCTCTAATCCAGCGTCATCTTTCTGTAATCAAAATCTGATCGCATGCCACTCCTATCAGTGACTCTGGACAGCACTTGATGGGTACCCCGGGCGCTGAGATTAGTTTACTGCTTTCCCTTCTTCAGGGTGCTTGCAAGCAAAGAAGGGGCAGAGACAAGGGTCCGTTTTCCTCCCAGCTAGCACAAAGCAGGTGCTTAGGAAATATTTGGGTGGAAGGGTTCCAAATCTCTCCAGGTGCCACTTGGATGTGCTAACAGCAGAGCAGGGCAGTGGTTAAGGTAGGCAGACCTGGCAGGTCCGAATGGCAGCATCACCAACTTCCTTCCAGCTGGTTCACCTGGATGGCTTCTTCCCTTCCGTCAGCCTCACTCTCAGCTGTGAGTTAATACCACCTCCCTCACAGAGAATGAGGCGATCCACAGAAAGGGCTTCACAGAGGAAGCCAAGCAGCCAAACCCACTTGCCATCAGACTGATTCCTGCTCATGGCAGCCTGAGTGCCCCACTGGGTCTCGGAGGCGGAGTTCTTCTAAGATGACTGCCAGGCCTCTCTTCCAACCACTCTGGTGGGTCGTAATGGCCAAACCTTTTGGTTAGTCGCCAACCACTTCACCACGTGCATCCCCTAAGGCAGCAGTTCTCAAACTGCGGGTCGAGACCCTTTTGGGGGTCAAACGTCCCTTTCACAGGGGTCACCTGATTCATAACAGCAGCAAAATTAGTTATGGGCGATGTAAGATATGAAAATAATTATAACTTATCAAGGGTTCATAAGGGAGGGTGGGGAGGGGAGAGAAAGAAATGGGGAGCTGATATCAGAGGCTCAAGTGGGAAGAGAATGCTTTGAAAATGATGGCGGCATATGTACAAGTGTACGTGACGCACTGGATGAATGTATGGATTGTGATAAGGCGTAAAAGCCCCCAATAAAAGCATTTTTAAAAATTAGTTATTAAGTAGCAATGGAAATAATTTTATGGTGGGGGGGTCACAACACAAGGAACTGTATGAAAGGGTTGCGGCATGAGGAGGGCTGAGAACCACTGCCCTAAGGGGCTCCTAGCTCAAAGGAGTGCTCAGCAAACAGTTGCAACTATCCAGTGAAGCCTGCAGGTTAGAAAGATTCCCAGGATGCCGCTGCTCCGCCTAGTCACAAATTTAGTCAATGGCAAAAAAGGAAAGCTGGAACCCAGTCTTAATCCCAGGTGACTTGCTGCTAATCCGCCAGCTGTTGGGTAGCAAGAGACTAAGTGAAAGTGTGGGGGATCACGGATGCACCTGGATGTGGCTGAGGGTTTGCCTCTCTCCACTTGAACTTGGGCTAATGTGCCCTAGGGCAGGTGCATAATTACAGGATTGTTGAGCTTCCCTGTCGTTCAGTGTCTTCATTTGTTACAACTAATTATCGAATCGGTCCTCCTGGGAGCCTTCTATGGCTCGGTGGTCCTAAGGCAGTGGTTCTCAACCTTCCTCGTGCTGTGAACCTTTCATACAGTTCCTCATGTGGTGGTGATCCCGCCAACCATAACGTTATTTTGGTTGCTGCTTCCTCACTGTAATTTTGCTACTGTGATGAACCAGGCAACCCAACCCCTGTGAGAGGGTCATTTGACGCCCAAAGGGGTCACGAACCACAGATTGAGAATTGCTCTAAAGGGTGGAAACGGGAGGGCGGGGAGGTGATCACTGAAATCTCCAGTCCCTGGCCAGAGAGAGAGAAAGAGAGAGAGAGAGAGAGACAGCCTGTGAAAGGAGGTTCAGATAGCCTGAGGAGGTCCAGAGCCAGAGCCAGGGGGCTGGTTCTCACACCCTTTGCCCTTCCCCTTCTCACCTGCAGCAGGGGGTCTCTCAGCGTTAGAAAACATAATTGTGCTGGGGGAAAGAATGGTGATTAGCAAGAGATTGTGTTCTGTGCACATAGAGTACCTTCCCTGGAAGACAAAGCCAGATTCAGACAGTAACATCTGGTGAGGTGAGGCTGCGGAGTGGGTTCCGACCCACAGCGACTCGGTACCACAGAACGAAACACCGCCCCGCCCTGCGCCAGCCTCCCAATGCGATGTTCCAGTCCACCGTGGCAGCCACTGTGCCAATCCACCTTGTCCATCTTGCCTCTTCCCCGCTGCCCCTCCACTTCACCCAGACAGAACACGCAGTGGTGCTCAGCCAGCAGCAGGTGGAGAAGCCGGGGGAACCTTGGGGCCCTCCAAGGTCCCTTCCGAAGTGGGCTGGGCTCTGACCAGAAAGTGCACTGAGGGAACAGTAAGGCCCGCTGGGCTGGCAGGGCTGCTCTGGTCTCCCAGTTCTCGGTGAGTGAAGGCAAGGCTGAGCACTCTACGTGAACCGTGAGGCCAGGTGCCTTTCCTGATGGGAGTGTAGGGTGAGGGTCGGGTGGAGCATGAAGCCAGCTGGGTCTTTACCAAGGGCCACAAAGCCAGGTTGTTTCAGCCAACAGGGACCTAAGAACAGAACCCAACCTAGACGTTTCCAGTTGTCTTCCTGCTGGACTGCGAACAACTGGAGAGAGTGTGCTTTCGCTGCACTCCCACTTCTGGGTCGGAATGTGGCACCTCTTTGTGAGCAGTCATGAACAATGCATGTTGGGAACCAACGTGCTCAGCGCTGCCCGGGCCAGCAGACCGTGAGGTGCATGGCCTGGCGGTGGCGAGGCCATGTTTGGGGTCTGGTCTGTCTGCAGGAAGTGCCTCCGTACACAGCCGGAACCGTGACTGGCCCTGGAAGCCGACCAGCTACTCCACGGGGCCGAGTCCTGATGTTACACGGAACCTGCACTCTCTCCCAACAGCGAGCAGGGAGCCTGGACACCAGGCCAGAGCAGTGACTCACCTACAGCCAGGGTGGTGTCACCAAGTGCCTGCCATCCTCCGCAGTCCCTCTGATTCATTCTCATTGCACAACGCTCTTGTGTGCGGGTGTTTGTGTGGCGTGGGGTGTCACTCTGGGTGTGTGCACCGGGTCGTGGTAGGGACGAGGACAATGCACTGTGGGAAAGTGAGAACTGGGAAGAGCGTATGCAAATTCTCCACACTCATATTTAAGGAGTCTGGGAGGCCGAGACTCGCGGAGGGAGGCCTTCACGTTTGTGGGTTGGAGATAAGTCTGTCACATTCTCCTAACTAAAAGTTATTTCCCACGGCATCCCCCGTAATAATGCCATGTCCCCTGCCTGTTATGTGCGTGTATGATGTAGCCTGCATGTCCCAGATTATGTAAGCCTGTTGAGAATACATTTCCTCTTTCTCAATCCTGTCATCGGAAGAAGTGAGTACCTGCATGTCTTGTCTGATGTCTCCTTAATTTACCCTTCAATTACAGTACCGCCCCTTAGGACCCATTCGGTTGTGGAGGATGGTCCCCCACAATGCACCAGAGCACAGGGGTTACACATAAAGGCTTGGGCAGTGCTTCTGGAAAGTTCAGAAGACAAAGACTTCAGTCAGTGCCACCCAGAGACTCCATGGACCCCCTTACAGGATTACGTCCCATAGAAGACCCGTGACCAAAGCTACTACACATGCCAGTAAAAATGCAACATCACACAATTGCGGTCCTATTATAAAAATTTATCAAAGGAATAAGTTTCTAGAGGCTTGCTTCAGCAAGGTAAAAAGATGACTAAGAACCCTTAAAATACTTTAAATTCATTTTTAACCTTAGAGAGGGACCTGACTGGAATGCACCCTTCGGAAGAGCTTGCTTTCTTAAGCGAGAGGGGCTGGTGTCTGTGCGCTGCACTATGCTGACCTCTACTGCTTGCAGTCCCAAGGAGAACCGGCCTCGCAGGGATGGGCCCTGGGAAGCCACAGCGGGAAGAACAGCAGCATGGGCCAGGGGCCAGGAGGAGACCCTGAGCTGAGAGCGCTGCCTCTGTGCTCCGGATGTGCCACCCAATTAATTCGTCACCCAAACCTGGGACCTCGGAGGGAGACGGTGCAGGTAACTACTCAGGGACAAGAGGCATCAGCTTGGGACATATGGCTACCCTAGAAATAAGGCAGTTGGGGAAATGACATTTCCGGTACGCCCTGCCCCGTGAATAGTCAAAAGGCTTGACTGGAGCAAAGCACCCTGGGACCTGTGGTTAGCACCATCCAAGAGGTAAACAGTGTAGGCTGGCGTGTGACACGCACGGCTCCCACCTGCACGGGCCACTTCACCAGACACAGAACACAGCACCGGAGGTGAGGTTTCAAAGGATATTAAGTCTGGGGAGCATGCCCAGCCCACCCAGGTGTGGAGCTGGCAGAGCCGTCTGTCTCTCTGCCGAGGTGCTGCTTCTGCCTCCCACATCACTAACGTTCCCGCTGCTCCTAGTCTTTGGGGGGATTCTGAGCCAGGTGTTGTTCCCACTCGACTTCAACCAGCTTATACAGCTCCATGGTGGCCTGGGCGTCTTCCACGGAGGAATGGCCACTTTTTCCAACCTGGACCAGGGACGAAGAGAAGAGGGTGAAGCAACCAGGCATTCTCTGGCCCTTGTTTCTATTCCTCTCTCTCTCTCTCTCTCTCTCTCTCTCTCACACACACACACACACACACACACACACACACGCTGCTTCTGTAGTTAGTGGGCTGCAAAGCTTGGACTCTGGCAAGGCCTGGCCTATCATGTAATTTCGGTGGTATTACTTCTTGTGATTACTTCTATCCTTTGACAATTTGTCTATATTCTGTGGAGATGGTTCACCACAGGTCAAATGCCCGAGTGTCTTCTTTCAGCTGCTTCCTCCCAAGAGCTCTTGGCTTTTGGCTCCTGGGGTCTGGGGGTCTATAAAGGCTGACGTGGGTCTACAACATGGAAATCCAACACAGGGAAGGTACGCCCTCCCAAGCACAGATAAAAGACAGCAGGAGGTCACCCTCTTTTTTAAAAAGCCTGGGAGGAATTAGTTTCAAGGCAGCCTTCCCTGTGATGGTCTCCAACTGTTACAAAGCTTCTCTGACTGGACATCTCCAGTCTTATCGCACCCCAACCTGCCACCCCACCCCACCCCAACTGAAATCCCTTCTTTAAATAAGCCTCTTGAGCCCCTGGGGCTCAACTTTCAGTCAAACAACAGACTGGGCAATACCATCAGGGAGGTAGGCCCTCCTTAGGTCAACCAACCATGTGAGAGCAGAAGGTCAGCCTCTGCCAGGGAAGGGGCTCAGGAAGGGGGTGGGGGAGATGTGAGGGCCAGTGGGATGGGAAACCTGGGAGGGAGGGGGAGGAGGCTGCTAGAGGGCAGCCTGAAATCCACATCCCCGCCCCATACCACCACCACCACCACCACCACCACAAGACGAGCTGCTGAAGGAAAACCATCTGCTCAGGACACGCTCCCCTGAAGCCCCGGGCCGAGGGGTCCTCCCCCTGCCCTGTCCCTTGATGGGTCTCGGTGTCCTTTCTGGGTCAGAAAAGTTCTTGAGAGACGGGAATGACAAGATGATGGAAATTTGCCCACAAGCTTTGGGAAGCCCCTATGTCCACACCCTCCCGCCAAGCAGGCCATCCTTCCTTGACCGCCCCACAGGTCCCTGCCCCACCCCACCCCCAATATCCTCCTTTCTTACTCAAGGTTGTTTATCCACCTAAGGTTTCTGTGTCCCTCTTTCTCCGAAGTACCCTTTGGGTTGGCACCTCATTTAGTTCCCAGAAAGCACTGTGCCGTATTGAGCTGGCATCCCTATTCCTGACTCACGGAAAGGGAGAGAAGACCGGCCCGGAGCTCTTCCCACCAGAACAGCCCACCTGGGTCTCTACACCCAGCCAACTCCGGGGCCAGGCAGCAACGAGGCAGAGACTGGGCAGCCGCTTACCTGAATGTCCCGGTTCAGCAGCTTCTGGGTGAGACGCTTCAGAGACACGGTGATATTCTCTGGACAGCCGGCCTTCTGGTTGAGGAGGGGGATGTGGGAGGTATCTCGGGTGAGAGCCTTGGGGTGGAAGTACTGCAGGGCTTTGAAGTCATTGTGGATGGCATGCCCCACCACGACCTTCCCTGCGAGTATCTTCAAGATCTGAAGTCGGGGCCAAAGAAAAGGTGGGGTGGACTCAACCCGTGAAGCTCCCATGTCCGAAAAGCTCATCCTGGAAATTTCCAACGTGTGACCCTGACTGGACTCGCAGTGCCACCTGCTATTTTCCTGCAAATGTCCACTCCAGTGGCTGAACCATGCCCGAAGTCACACAGCTCTGAAATGTGGCTACGTGGCCACCAGAAGGCTCTAGCCAGTCTCATGACACTGGCCTTGGACGTATAATCCGGAGGCAAAGAGGAGCTCCAGGAAGGGACTGGGGATTCTAAATTATATGCATAGATGGATATTGGTGTTTCAGAGACCTGTGCTTTCATCAAATTCTCAAAGGGTTTGTAAGCCACAGAAGAACCACTTCTGGACTGAGCCTCGGAGGGCCATGACCAGATCCCACACCTGCGTGACCCAAACGCCAGCCCTAGAGACCCCTGCTCACCACCACAGTGCACTGACTGGCTGGTCAGGCGCCAGGGCCACACTAGACTAGTCCCGAAGCCAAATGTCGTCATCGTTGTCGTGTTTCAGAAACGGAGTGCAGGAATGAGGTGACACTACCTGTGACGGCAATCATTCCCACAAGTGGGTTCCAAACAGGGTGTGGGCAATGGACACTGTCCTGGAATGAGTGCTGGGCCCCTCAAGGGGCCAGACCCAGCTGGATGCACTCAGCCCAATACCTGGGACTGAGCACCGTGCAAGTGCTTTATGGTGCATACTGGACACAGCGCCACCAACCAGCTATTCTGTTGCCGCCGACCACCTAGAGTCCACTGTCAACCACTTACATGTCCTTTATCCTGAGCACATGGTGCACGCTTACACTGTGCTCCCTACGGGGGAGATTTTCCTTCCAAGTCCTTCTCAAAACTTGGGCCACTGAGCCTCCCCCAGGACTGTGCTGGCTTATTAAGAATTCCTAGAAAAAGCGTGTCCAGAAATGGCAAAGACCGCGGAGCCTAAATGACAAAAAGCAGACCAAGTGTGCCCTCTGGAGGCCTTTCGGGGTCAGTAAGCTCCCCAGCCTCTGCCCTGTTCATTTGTGATGCTCTCAGTATCCAGCAGAGGGCTCTGCCATCTCTTTCACCACAGGCCACCTGGCCAGTTACACCTAACAGTCCAGTTCCTTCTGTCTACTACTATTCAGCCACCAACTGGTGCACTGACTGGCTGGTCAGGCGTCAGGGCCACACTAGACTAGTCCCGAAGCCAAATGTCGTCGTGTTTCAGAAACAGAGTGCAGGAAACCTTCTTTCTTTCCTCAGGCTAGGAAACTTTCTCCAACTCTCCACTCTCAATCCGAGGCTCTAACCCTACAAAACAAGACAAAACCACCCCAACTCACCACCCCCAGGTCGAGCCTGACTCACAGAGACCCTGTAGGGCAGGGTAGAAGAGTCCCTGGGGGTTTCTAAGACTGACTGCAGGAGAAAGCCTTGACTTCTCCCCAGCAGTGGTTCTCAACCTCCCCCATGCCGCCACCCTTTCATACAGTTCCTGATGTGTGATGACCCCCCAACCATAACATTATTTTCATTGCTACTTCATAACCATAATTTTGTTACTGTTATGAATGGGGTGCCCCCTGTGAAAGGGTGGTTCGACCCCCAAAGGGGTCGCGACCCACAGGTTGAGAACCGCTGCCAGAGTGGCTCCTGACCTTGCAGTTAGCAGCCCGATGCATAACCATTTTGCCACTAGACCCGTTAACTCTATGGAGCGGCTTTCCTGGTGGCCCTCAGCCCCACCGTGCTCGGTCCGGTTTCCCGGCTGACTGTTGTTTCTGGAGGCAGACTCCCACATCTCTGCATCTCTCTATGCAGTTGCCCAGATGCGGAGCAAGTGTAAGCGCCCCAGCACTCATGGGGATGGCGCGGGGTCAGGAAGCATCTCACTCGGGTGGGTGAGGTCACCAGTCAGCAGCCTCACGTCCCTGGAGGAAGTCTGCTACACCAGCTAATTCTAATGCTGCAGCCTTTCGTCACACGGCACCCCAACAAAAGCCTTCTCCATCATCTCCCCTTCTCCTAGAGTCCTCTGCTGCCTTCCCAAGCTGAGATAGTCTTTACTGACAAAAATGACTTGGCCCTCTGGCCTCACCTGCCTTGCTAACTCAGTTGGATGCCCTAGGCCCCTTACCTGGCTCTGGGCAATCTTGAAGGGTGTAGCATTCACCATGTGCTGCTTCCGGATCCCACTCCACCTGGTTCGGTAGTCCACGATGCGGCAGGGGGGCAGGATGTACTCATCGTACAGCACGTCACCATCATAGTTAACGATGCTACATCGAGCCAAGGAACTGACATGCCCCTTGGGCCCTGTGCCCACCATCTCACAGTCAACCGCCACCATCTTCCTGGGCTTCTCCTGAGACCCTCCAGACGCACTCTCGGGGTGTGTGTGAGTGGATTTCTGTGAGGCGTTCTTCTGGGAGAAAGCTAGGTGGCTCTTCACCTTTGGGAGGGCACTCTGAAACTCTCCCAGCAAGTCCACTGGAGCCGCAAGGGAACTGCCCTTCTGTGCAGGGGCAGGGGTCAGCCAAGGCACTCCAGCTTTCCTCTCCAGGGCCCGCTCGGCTCCGCTGCCAGAGGCAGCGGTCTTTCTCCTTTTGGGGGGAGGAAGGGCGCTCCAAGTGCCATCCACCTGCGGAGTCTCCTCTTCCTTTGGAGGGTCTACGTGCAACTTAGGCACCTTGCTGGAGGGCTGCTTCTTCTTATTCAGAATGCCTTTCCGTTCCAAGAGCCGCCGCTTCTTGACAAAGCGCCGGTGCTTGGAATTGCCCTCTGAAGTCTTTCGAGGAGGAGGTTCCCCAAAATCGAGGTTGAGGAGTAAGGTAGACATGAGGGCAGTGGGTGCTGGGAGAGCGGTTGGGGCAGAACTTACAGATGAGAGGTGAATGAGGGACTCATCCTTGGCTGAATCCCGTGGACCAGCATCGGAGGGGTTTGGAGGACAGCCTGGAGAAGAGAGTGATGCTGATAATTCGGCCCACGGGGGCCTGGAAGAAATGAGAAACCACAGAGCTTCAACAGCACACAAGGGAGGTGAGTTAGCCATCAGAGCTATGCAGGATGAAATGATGGCTGGGCTGAGCCGGGAGACCTGGATTCTAGGGAAGCCCGTGCCCCAGGATTCACTAACTACATGGCCTTAGGGAAGTCATTCCCCGTCTTTTGGAAGACCTGGCATAGCTTAAACTCTCGTCTGGAGAGCTAGACTCCAGAAACCAAACCAAACTCACCGCCACTCAGTCGACCCCAACTTACAGGGATCCTATTGAGCAGGACAGAACTGCCTCTGTGGATTTCTGCGGGCACAGAAAGCCTCTTTGCTCCGAGGAGTGGCTGGTGGTTCCGAATTGCTGTCTGCGGTTAGCAGCCCAAGGAGACATCGGCTCCGCCACCAGGGCAGCGGGAATAATAGGTGAGCTTTACAAAGCTTCGCCCACATAGGGAACGTCCAAATAGCGTGTAAAGCAGGGAACCACCAGGCCTAGATGACCTCTCGATTACCCAGCTATCCCAGAGCAGGCCCCAGGAATAGAGGGGCAGGCTCAGGGGCACGTTCCCTTGGGCGCCAGGCAGGGGTTGTTATCTTCACACGGACCTCAGCTAATCCTTCCTTCTCCTATCAAAGAACCCTTGACGCCACCCGTTAGCAGGCGTGTGGGCGGAAACCAGGCTCCAGGGGAGGACACTTTGACAGTTCCCGCCGCGGAAACCATCCCGAGGGGGCCCCGCGCTAGCATACCTCCTAGACAGGCTCCGCTAAGGGCGGAAGCGTCCGGAGCCGGATGCGGAAATCGGCGCGCATCGCCGAGGCCGGGGACGGCAGGCGCGCGGGTTGGAACGCACCGGGGGCCGGCGCCCGCGCGCCCGCAGCGCCCCGACCTCCGGGAGCGAGGCCAGGGATTCGGAGTGCGTGAGGATCGGCAGCGGCGGCGGCGGCGGCGGCGGCGTGGGAGGGGGCGGGGGTGGGATGCGCTCCCCGGCCCCTCTAGCCCCGTGGAGGTACAACTCGAAAGTGTAAGGAAGCCCCCACAAACAAGAACTGAGGTGTGCCAGAGAGCCTGGGCTTCCGGGAGAGGAGGAGCGTGTACCGGAAGAGGCGGGATCTACCGCTTGGTCCTCCCTTTGTGGGCGTGGCCAGGTAACGCCTCGCCTCTGTGACGTCATTACGCTGTCGCCGCGCCCACTTGCCTCTGACGCTGACACTGTGACGTCAGCTGGACGCTTCATTTCTTCTACGGCAGAATGTGAGCTGGCGGCAGGCTGCACCCGGCGCCGGACCCGAGGCTGGTGCGGAGCCGAGCCCAGCATGGGGCCTAAATCCACGTGGTAGTGGCCGGCGTTCCCTCGCCGCCGTCTCGCGTCCCTCTCCACAGCTGGGCCCGGAGATGCCCGGCATCTCGGGCCGCGGCCTCTCTCTGGAGGAACGGAGGCAGCTAGCTGTGAACCTCACCCGTGTCCTGGCCCTCTACCGTTCCATCCTGGATGCCTACATCATCGTGAGCCCACAGGGGTGTCGGTGGGGTGCTTCCGGGGCAAATGTTGATCGTGTAGCTGCCTAGGTGCCCAGGAAGGGCATCTGGAGAGTTGGTCTCGGGTCTGTTTTCTACTGGTCTCGGCCTTTTAGAAAACAAACCTTGTAGCTTGCTTTTAGGGGAAAGTTTACAGAGCAAATTCGTTTTCCATTCAAACGTTCATACAGGTTGCTCCGCGACATTGATTGTAATCCTCTCAATACGTCGGAGCTCTCCCCATTTCCACCCTGGTTTCCCATCCATCCCGTTTCCCCAGCCCGTCACTGCTTATGCCTCTCTGCTTTGCAGCAAGAGGTGCCCCCGCGGTCTCCTGCAGTTCGGTGGAGCACATGCCTCCAGGTGTGACTGACCATTTTTTGTACCAGTCTCTGATTTGGATGTAAGGAGGCCTGGTGGTGTAGTTGTTAAGCATTGGGCTGCTAACCACAGGGTCAGCAGTTTAAAACCACCAGGCACTCCGCATGGAAAAAGATGAGGCTTTCTACTCCTGTAACTAGCTGGTCTTTGAAGCTCACAGGGGCAGTTCTGCTCTTGTCGGGTTGCCCTAAGTTGGCATTGGTCAGATAGCAGGGAGTTTTCTGGGTTGTTGTTTTTTTTTTAAGGAGGCCTGCGGTGCTGTCAGATAAGCTGTGGGCTAACTGCAAGGTTGGCAGTTCAAACAAACCGGCTGCTCTGAGAGAGAAAGATGAGATTCTCAGCTCCAGCCAAAATTGACAGCTTCGGAAGCTACTCAGTGGCAGTGGGTTTGGTTGGTTATTGTTGTGCTGAAAGGTGGAACTTCAGTGCCACGTTGGAAGGGTACCTACCTTAGGGAAACAGTCTCAGGGCTCTGCCAGCCTCTCTCAGACTTGATAAGACTGGTCTTTGTTTTATGAACTGGATTTTGTTCTACATTTTGCACCATTTCTAACCAGGACCTTCTACCGTGGTGCTGGTTAGAGCATTAGCATGGTAGCTGGGCATTATGTAGTTCTGGTATCAGGCTAGGGGAGGCTGTGGTTTCATTGGGTCATTAGTCTTCTGAAAGAACACCAAAGACTCAAGGAAGTAATTAGTCCAGAGAACTTATGATCCATTAGGGAAAAAACTAATAGTATCTTTGATGGCCACTTGGAACTTTTGAAACCCCAGACACTGCTCACCAACGAAGTGGTCAAACCTTATTTGCATGGACCTTGTTAAGCCAAGTGAGCCGAGATTGTCGTCCTTAGCCTTCATGCCCAACTGCTCAGTCCTGCGAGTAGTTTGGTTATCCCTATGATGCTTCCGTAACTATGCCCCTATATGTTCTCTTAGACAAAGAGGCTTCAAAATGTTGGTGGGGGGGGATGGAATTAAAAGAGAATGGTATTTTTTTTTGGATGGTATTTTTTCATGAACATTTTAAATCTCCTTCACATATATGAATTTGTAGATCTAGATATGAAAACGTGAAAAAGAGGCAGGCCCTCAACAAGATGGCTGAACACAGTGGCTGCAACCATGGGCTCAGGCTTAGGAACAATTGTGAGGACGGTGCAGGACCGGGCAGCGTTTCGTTCTGTGGCCCATAGGGTCACTGTGGGTTGGAACTGACTCGATGGCACCTAACAGCAACATATATGTGAACATGTGTGCAACGCATACAAACATGCATGTAGAAATACCCACCACCGAACCTGTATGTGCATGTGCGCATGCTTCTGCACAACCTCCCACACCTATTTAGCATACATATTCACCTCTGTACCCACTCACCAATGGTGGTTATTACTGTGGCAGGGTTACACGAGCGAGTGACGTGGTATTCTATGTGTCCCCCTTTATGCACACCTCGGTGTCTTCCTGTGCCTTCGTCACATGTGTTGCCTTTCCCTTCACCGGAATTCTCCTAGGGCTGCTGTCCGTTGTGTGATTCTCCTTTGTTCCCTCCCATCCCAGGTAGGTAACCTTCAAAGGACACTTCTCTCTGTCTGCAAAGCTGTTCAGCAGACGGTCCTCCAGACTCATCAGGTTGTGAGATGATTTCCCGGAGTCGTCATCTTCTTCATCATTGTGGTGTCTGTATGTGCCAAGGGTTTATCCTTTCCTCCACTGACGGGCATTCCAGGTTGTTGACATGTTTTCCCTATTAGGAATAATTCAGCATTGCACATGCATGTACGTATGCCCATCCGTGTCACCACGGCTCTTTGGTCTCTAGAATTAGTATATACCCAGGGGTGGGATTGCTTAATCACATGGTATTTCTCTTTCTAGCTTTTAAGGCAGCACCAGACCATTTTTCACCAGAGTGATTATCCCATTTTATCATCCCGTCAGCAGTGTATAAGATTTCCAATCTTCCCAGAACCCTGCGCTTACTGATGAGTGTCATCCCTGCTGCATGTGATGACATCTCATGGTGGCTCTCTCATTGGCAGCTCTCCACGACTAATGTCTCTTCATGTCTTCATTAGCTACCTGAACATCTTCTGGGATCAAGTGTATGTTCGCGTCCTGTGCTCAGTTTTCAATTGGCTTGTTTGTCCGTGTTGCTGGGGGGTTGAACTTTTCTATACATTTTCGTGATCAGACTCTCCATTGCCAGTATGGTTTCCCGGTCTGTAAGGCCCCTCCTCGCTCTTTGTGGAATCTTTTGCTGAGCTTAAGTGTTTAATGGTCAGGAGGCCTCAGTTACCTAGTCTATCCTGAGCTGTTGGTGCATTTTTCATTACACTTGATTGTGTACGTTGTTAGCTACACTGGATCGTCTTTTTGCCATGAAGTGGGAGCCTGGCTTTGTCCCCTTGCTTCTTCCACGGCTGTGTGATTTGGATTTTCCATCCATCTGGAGTTCATTTTGTGTATGGCTTGAGGGATTGCCCTCGCCCGTCTCACTTTCCTGCAAATGGTTGTCTGTTTTTGCCAGCAGCATTTGTTATAGAATCAAAGCTTCAGTCTTGTTATCACTGGTGTGTGTGTGGGGTGTCCTCTCCACCCTTTTTTTTTTCCCCAGCTGACATTGGTATTTCTAATACCTAGGTTTTTCAAACCTTCCCAGATTCAGGATAATAAAGTCCAAGAATGTGGGAGCCAGGCAGCAGCCATGCTTAACTCCTCTAGAGGGGAGATGCGAAGGTGTTCCCTCCACCAAACTTGTCTGAATAAGTGGTCGTGGCAGGTCCCAGGTAGTTTTCCGTGACCATATATAGTGGTTGGTGCTTGGTGTTGTGGTGCACGGTTGTGGTGCAGTGGACAGTGCTGGCTTTGGACTCAGACACACTAGAGCCCCACCTCCCCTGCTGGCTCTGCTCTAGGCATTTTGATTCGATATATACCTAGCCCCATTTCCTCGGCTGGATCTCAGACGTTCAATGGATAGCTCTCTGAAAGATCACTTTGAAGAGTAAATGAGATCATGGGTAACGGTTATTGCACACCCCAAATCAGACAGCATCCTCCTTCACTGGTCCACGATCCAGGCCTTCAGCAGGTCTTAGTAGCTCTACCTTCAGAATAGATAACAAGTAGATCTACTTTTCTCCATCTCCACTGCTTCCGCCCTGGTCCAAGCCCCCACCAGTTCTTCCCTGGCCTACTTCCACCAGCTTCCTGCCTGCTCTGGCTTTCAGTGCTCCACCAGCAATTCACAGAGCAGACAGATGGAGCTGCCTAAATGCTAGCCTGTAGAGCCCTGCGTGATCTAGCCTCTGCAGCTCCTCACCCCATCACGCTCCATCCTCTCCCGCATTCCCTGTGCCTCCTGCCCTGGCCTAGTGACCTTTCAAAAATACGGCTGGCGCCTGGCCTTTATACTGCCTGCTCTACCTGGAAAACTTGCCCTCCACAACAAAGCCAAGGACAGGATGGTGTAGAGCAAGGGCACCAGGGTCAAACGGGTTTCAGATCCCAGCTCTGCTACTTACTAGCTTTTCCATTTGGGCAAGTTAATGCATTCCTGTGCCTCAGTTTCCTCCTCATCTGTAAAATGGGTAATAGGGTCGCTATGAGTCAGAATTAACTGGATGGCAGGAGGACTATTGGGTGTTTTGTTTTGTTTTGTTTCATTTTGTTTTGACGATTGAAAATGCATGTCACATAGAGAGGGCTGAAGGGCTGACCCCAATCCCAGCTACCTGGACTCCCTCCCCAGAAGAATACACTACAGAGGACAGCACTGAAGCTACAGCTCAGGGAAAGGGGCGGGTCTGCTCAGAACACAGGGGAGCAAACTAAGAGGGAAGGGGGGGCAGGGGGGAGGGACCACAACCTGGTCCACAAGCCCTGAGGATGATATTCCTGCTTGGAGCAGCCAATGCACAGAGAAGACCAGTAGGGCCGGCCCCATCATGAGACACGGTGGTCCCTCACTGACCCATAGCACTATGGGGACAACACTGGAGCTACTGTGTGGGAATTGTGCCGGGTCTGACACCCCCACTCCCCACTGGGGCTAAACTCGAAGGGCATGCAGCATAGCAGCAAGTGGAGCAAAGCACTGAAGTCCCTGAGGAGCTCCAAAAATGGACATCAGAGGCAGGGCTTTTGGCACCTCAACAAACCTGATTGGAAAACATTCCTAAAGGTCAACAGACAGACCTGAAACTATAGAGGCTTTTTTTTTTTTTTTTTTTTAATGTCTATCTATACAAGATAGGAAAAACAATCCCAGGGGGAAAACAATGGGACCAGTGGTTCTGGGGGAACCATGGGACAGGGGGAGATGGGAGAAGGGAAGGGGGGAGCCAACAAACCTAGGGACAAGGGAACAACAAGTGATCTAAAAATCCATGGTGAGTAGAGTGTAGAACGTCTGGTGGGGTTTGATCAAGTGCAGTGTCGCCGAGAGGAATTACTGAGAGCTGAATGAAGGTCAAACATGACAGTGGGACACGAGGAAAGTAAAAGGACATAGAAGAGGCAAAGGACATTTACAGAGGTATAATTACAGGCACACACATATGTAAATATATATAACAATGTGGACATAGATCTATGTACATATATGTTAAGTATTAAAGTAGAGGAGCTGATATCAAGGGCTCAAGTAGAAAGCAAATGTTTTGAGAATGAGGATGACAACAAATGTGCTTGACACAATGGATGTATGTGTGGATCATGATAAGAATTGTACGAGCCCCCAATAAAATGATTTTTTTTTTAAAGTATTAAGGTAGCAGACAAATATTGGGCCTCTACTCAAGTACACCCTGAACATAAGAACACTTTGCTCTAATAACCTGGCCTTCTGTGATGCTCACCTTCCTGACAGGATCACTGAAGACAAATGGGTGCATAAGTAAAAGTGTGAAGAAAGCTGATGGTGCCCGGTTATCAAAAGTTATAGCAGGTCTTAAAGGCTTAAAATTAAACAAGTGGCCATCTAGCAGGGAAGCAATAAAGCCCACATAGAAGAAGCACACCAGCCTGGGTGATCATGAGGTGTCGACAGGATCAGGTATCAGGCATCAGAAGACCCAAAACAATTATACTGATGTGAATGAGGGGGAGGGCAGAGTGGAGACTCAAAGCCCATCTGTAGACATTTGGACATACCTTTACAGAAGGGTCACAAGGAAGGGATGAGCCAACCAGGGTACAGTATAGCACCGATGAAACACAACATTCCTCTAGTTCTTTAATGCTTCCTCTCCCCACCCAATTCTTGATTCCAGTTCTACATTACAAATCTGGCTAGACCAGAGCATGTATCTTGGTACAGATAAGAGTTCTGGACACTCAGATTCCAGGACAGATAACCCCCTCAGGAACAATAATGGGAGTAGCGATACCATGAGGGTAGGGGAAAGGTGGGAGGAGAATGGGGACCCAATCATAATGATTGATGTGGAACCCCACCTACCCACCCAGGGTGACAAACAACAAACAAGGGAGACAGCAGATTGTGTAAGATGTAAAAATAATAGTAATTTATAATTTATCAAGGGTGGGAGGGAAAAAATTAGCTGATACCAGGGGTTCAAGGAGAAAGTTTGAAAAGGATGATGGCAACATATATACAAGTGTGCATGACACAATGGATGTGTGGATTGTTTTAAAAGCTGTAAGAGCCCCCAATAAAATGATTATGATTAATTAAAAAAGAAAGTGCATGTCACCTGGTTAGCCCAGTGCCTGGCATATTAAAGTATCACACAAATGTTTGCTAATACCTGTGTTTTCTGGACATGCCTGATTCCTGCTCATGATACTCTCCATTACATTGCAATTCACTAATGTTTCCTAGTTTCTAGATTAACATTATCATTGTAATGTCAGCTCAGCTAGGAAGGAATCTCGTGTGTCTGGCTCACTGTTACAGCCTCTTCTTGGTACGTCATCCCTCAAAGCGCAAGCACACACTCCTGCTCTCAGGGACCCTGCCCTTCCTAGTGGAGCAGCCCCAGTGGGTTTCCAAGATGGACTCTTGACCAGAGCAGACAGCCGTATCTGTTTTCCTCCGGGGAGCAGCTGGTGGGTTTGAACCTCTGACCTTTAGGTTAGCAGCCCAACACGTAACCCAGTACACCAGGAGGGCGACTCTGGGTAATCCCAGCTCCAGCATTGTGCTGAGCGAAGGAACAACAGACATCCCCGAGGGCTGTGCAGACAGAAGGGCGGGCTTGCGCCATGGTAACCCACTGGTGTTAATAACGACAGTCAGGGCCGAGAAGAAAACCCACCTTGCCTTTAAGAAGTTGGGTTGAGTGGAGAAGAGAGACACATGGCGGGGGGGGGGGGGTTCCCCGGTTCTAAAAGGAGAGGCGAGCTCAGGATTCTCGCTGGACATCAAGGAAGGAGGTCAGCCACCGAGGGAGACTAAGCAAGGGGTGACAGCCGAGTAGGGGTGCTTACAGGCCCGTGAGTGACAGCACTTGTCGTTGCCGGGATGGGTGGGCAACAAGGTGGGATGTAGGAAGGGGTGAGAAGGGTAGGGGGGGTGGTAGTGCCCTGAGTGCCTCTTCCCCTCTCCTGCAGGAGTTTTTCACGGACAACCTGTGGGGCACACTCCCTGGCTCGTGGCAGGAGGCCCTGGATAGACTGAGCCCGCCCCAGCTGGCCACGCTGCTCCTGGGCATGCCTGCAGAAGGGGAAGCGGTCAGGTAGGGGTCAGAGGGGCCCTGGCCTGTGGACTGAAGCGCTGAGCCCCTTGCCCAAGGGCTCGGCAGGGTTTCCTGGGCCCTCGGGGGTTGTTAGCTGGTGCCCTGAGGATCTGATGGGATTTCATCAGAGGCCTGGCCGGCCTATCTCAGGTACAGGTCGGTGTGGCCACTCACTCTGCTGGCCCTGAAGGCCACAGCCTGTGCCCTGGCTTTCACCCGGACACCTGGCTTCCAGACTCCTTCCGAGTTCTTGGAGAACCCCAGCCAGAGCTCCCGACTCCCACCTCTGTTCCGGAAGCATGTCAGGCCCAAGAAGCAGCATGAGATCCGGAGGCTGGGAGAGGTGAGGACACATCTGGGGGGGAGAGGTTGGGTCTGGGAACCCATAGAGGCTGTCAGTCCGAGGGGTACATGCAGTGTGCCCCCGCCCTCACATGCAGGATCAAAGGCCCCGCTCGGCAGAATAACTGCTAATCGAGTCTCAGTGCCGGTATTGTCTCTTCATCTTCTTGCTGGGCCCCTGCCTCACTCCCCTCACGTCCCCTCCCTGCTCTGGGGGGGAGCAGGACACCTGCGACCTGAACCTGTGTCACCACCCTCCCTCCCCTCCCCCCTCAGGTTGGTTTCCATAGTTGACACACCCCACCCCACCCCATGGCTCCCCCTCTCTACCATCCTCCAGTCCTCATCCCCCCACCCCATCTGGGGTGTTTATCCCAGGAATCAGGGAACAATGGCCCAAAGACCTTTGCTCCCTCCTCTTTCAGTTGGTGAAGAAGCTGCGTGACCTCACAGGCTGCACCCAGGTTGTGGACGTGGGCTCGGGCCAGGTGAGCCAGAGCCCTCGCGTACTGTTGGCTTGAGTCACGGTCCTAGAACAATGGGGGGAGAGATGGCAGGCCCAGGAGGCAGGCGTGGAGGAGAGGTTGGGACCACGTCGGTCGGGCATAATGTAAACTTTCTGCGGGGCTCGGTCGCATAGCTGTGTTGCATTGGGTTGCTAGCCACCAGGTTAGCAGTTTGAAAACACCAGCCTCTCCTTGGGAGAGAGACGAGGCTTTCCACTCCTGTAAAGAAGTCCAGTTGTGGAGACCCACAGGGCAGCCCTGCCTTGTCCTATGGGGGGTGCTATGAGTCAGAATTGACTCGATGGCAGTGAGCTTGGTATTTTTTTGAGTGGGGTCTGGCACCCAAGCGCGTGTGCAGGCCACTGCTCCGGAGGGTGAGCTGCTGACCGGCAGTGTCTGCCCCGTCTGCCCCGCCCCCATGACTCCAGGGTCATCTCTCCCGCTTCATGTCTCTGGGGCTGGGGCTGTCGGTGAAGAGCATCGAGGGGGACCAGAGACTGGTGGAGAGAGCCCAGCGCCTGGACCAGGAGCTCCTGCAGGCCTTGGAGAAGCAGCAGAGGCGGGCCCCACAGGTGTGCCCCCTGTCCGCAGCCAAGACTGCAGGAGCAGGGCCTGCTGGGCTGGCGTCTCGGACCCTGATGGCAAGGCCCTTATTTCTGTTGTCCCTTCTCCAAAGCCTCACCCCATCTTGAAGGCACTTTCCAGGTTACAAAGTAACCTCCACAGCTCTGGGAAGCCACCACGGGCTGTTCCACTCCAATTCGCTCTTTGGGAAGGAACATAGGCGGCAGAGCCCTTTCTGCGACCGAGGTGGTATCAGCAAACAATTTCCCACCTGCCCGTGTCCTTTCCTGCCTCCACAGGTGGTCCACGCCGGCCCTCGCCACCCCCCACGCCACGTGGTTAAGTGGGTAGACCCCACAGCTCTGTGTGAAGAGCTGCTGCTGCCCCTGGAACCCCCACCTCCAGGAGGGGCCGCCCGCCTGCTGCTGACAGGCCTCCACGCCTGTGGGGATCTGAGCGTGGCCTTGCTGCGGCACTTCTGCCGCTGCCCCGAAGTGGCAGCCCTGGCCTCCGTGGGCTGCTGCTACATGAAGCTGAGCGACCCTGGCGGCTACCCCCTGAGCCACTGGGTGGCGGGGCTGCCTGGCTGCGAACTGCCCTACAGGTTGCGGGAGGGGGCCTGCCACGCCCTGGAGGAGTACGCGGAGCGGCTCCGGAAGGCAGGCCCAGGCCTCCGCACCCACTGCTACCGGGCGGCACTGGAGGCCGTCATCCGCGGCGCCCAGCCCAAGCTCCGTCGGCCAGGCGTGCAGGGGATCCCCAGGGTCCACGAGCTCAAGATTGAAGAGTAAGGTTCAGGGAGACAGCGTGTGCGCGTGTTTCGGGGGGAGGGGGAGCATAGGCAGATCGCCAGCGCTAGGTCAAGGTCTCAGTCTTAGGACTAGGAGGTTCCTCAAAGTGGCGCTGGCACTCCTCGGTCAGAAGAGTCCATCGAAGGTTCTAAAACGCTACATACGTACCTGTCATCCAACAGAATTGGCTGGAGGAACTTTCTGGGTCATTCACAGCCAGGGACATTTATTTAAAAATATGTTTGTTATTCATGTAGCTAATTAAACAAAACTGGAGGGGGGACCCTTCACCCAACCGGCATGCCATCCATGGCTGGTTCTGCAGGTACGTGCAGCGGGGGCTGCGGCGAGTGGGCCTGGACCCCCAGTTGCCCCTGAACGTGGCTGCCCTTCAGGCCCACCAGGCCCAGGAGCACCGGGTGGTGGCCTTCTTCAGCCTGGCCCTGCTGCTGGCCCCCCTGGTGGAGACGCTGATTCTGCTGGACCGTCTTCTCTACCTCCAGGAGCAGGGTGAGCAAGGCCTCCGCGGGCAGGTTCCTTGTTCTGTGACCCTGCAGCACTGCCAGTGCAAAGGGAATGGGGGACTTTTAAGAAATTCCTCCGGCATTGGCCTCAGTCACCAGTGGCCCCCCAGGCTGAGTCTGCAGCGAGAGCACGAGCACGGAGGAGATTCCCCTTCCAGAGATCAGTCTTCCTGGGCCCACGCCCTGGGGAAGAGGGGCCAAGGGCTGCACTGGGAAGTGGCTTCTGACCAGCCCTGCCTTTCTCCCAGGCTTCCATGCGGAGCTCCTGCCTCTCTTCAGCCCTGAACTCTCTCCCAGAAACCTAGTCCTGGTGGCCACCAAGACACCCCTGGGGCAGGCCTTCTCCGCCCTGGAGACTGAAGACAGCTGACAAAGCCCAGGAAGGAAGGACACTCCTCTTCTCTGGCCCTTCTGAAGCCCCCCAGCGGCAGGGGGTGGTGGGCCCTGGTGGGGGGCCTGCCCGTGCCACACCACCTCACCCAGAAGAGAACCAGCACCCTCATCCTCCCTGGGAATTTGGTCCCCACGGGGCTTCAGTTTCCCACCCTCTCTTCCCTCTGTGTGTAGAGTATATATTGTGTAAGGATTTATTTTTAATTTATTAAAAAACAGAAATCTTTATTCCTCTCCCATTTCTGTGTACTTTGAAAAAAACAAGCAATCTCCCTCCTGAGGTCCGGTGGAGGTTGACAGTGGAGTCTGACACCCTCAGCCCTCGGGCCTCCCTGGTGGGGCTTTGAGGCAGTACCTCCTTACTCTGACATCTCCACAAAGGGAACCCTGCCCTGGGGACCCCTTCTGAAGGCTTCCTGACTTCCATCCAGTCTGCCACATTAGATGCTTCCATCAAACCCTAAACTCGGGGTACGCTAGGGGTGGGGATGCCAGTCTACCAGAAGACAGCAGTGCACGCAGAAGATGACTCACAGCTCTTTATTGGGGTCTGGAGAAGAGGTGGTCCCAGCCTCCAGGTGAAGCCAGAAGTAGGGGAGCATCTCCTGCCCCCGGCTCAATACCAGTAGACTTTCTTGTGTTTCCGGGTCTCCTGGATCCCCATTGCCTCCATCACCTCCTCCTCCAGGGTCTTCAGACGGGGCACATAGGTTCTTTCAAGAGCATCTTCCACTGATGTGTCTTTGGGGCCATCTATTGGGCCGGAGGAAAAGGGGCGGGCATAAGGACTTCCCAGCTACAGTCTCCTCCCTCCTACTGCCCCCCATGTTCCTGCCCCTCACCCAGCCTCACCAATCCATGTTTCCGGGACAATGCCATCAGCTCTGGGAAAATCTGGCTTGGGGATAATTCTTCCTGATCTCGTGGAGACCCGT